AGGGTCTAAAGGAAAGTGAGGAGATAGAGCGAGGAAGGATAAAACCTGATCATGGGAAACAGAAAGTCTTCACCAGTAACCAAGATCAGAGTTTATCAGCTTCTGCTTAGTAATGATGTTAGATTAGATTTAATAAATTGTTGCTATTCGTCTGAGATGACGAGAAACCTTATTTCATTCATGCATGTTCAGACAAGGTTTTACATATTCTTTTAATGATTTGAATGGTTCAATTTCTGTTATAAGAATGGTGTTTTTATGTTTGAAGCTTTGCCTTGTAACGGTGTGTATGAAACAGTGACTTGTGTTGATAGCCTAGGAAATAGTGTACTTAATATTGACTTGTCTAATAGTGTAGACAAGCATGCCTTGTGGCATTGTCGTCTTGGACACATTAACAAGAAACGCATAGCCCAACTCCAAAAGGATGGAGTGTTGGAATCATTTGACCTAAAGTCAGATGATATGTGTGAATCTTGTCTTTTGGGAAAGATGACAAAATCACCATTCACAGGGTCTTGTGAAAGAGGTGAAGGTCTGTTGGATCTCATACACACAGATGTGTGTGGGCCCTTCAGATCAACTACAAGAGATGCTAATCGATTCTATGTGACTTTCACTGACGATTATAGCAGATATGGATATATCTACTTGATCAAGCATAAGTCAGAAACTTTTGAAAAGTTCAAAGAGTTTAAACATGAAGTCGAAAATCAATTGGGCAGAAAGATAAAGATACTTAGATCCGATAGGCGGGGAGTATCTTAGTATCGAGTTTAACGACTATCTGAAAGAATGTGGGATAGTCTCACAATTGACTCCTCCTAGGACACCACAGTTAAATGGTGTAGCTGAGAGGCGCAATCGAACCTTGTTAGACATGGTTCGTTCTATGATGAGTCGGGCTTCGCTTCCTATTCACTTCTGGGGGTATGCCTTAGAGACAGCCGCCCACATCCTCAATCTTGTCCCTACAAGAAGGTTGCCAAAAACACCTCACGAAATGTGGACAGGGAAAGTTCCCTCGTTAGCACATATTAAAGTCTGGGGTTGTGAAGCTTTCGTAAGACGAGAGACTCACGACAAGCTAGCAGCTAGAAGTGAGAAATGTGTTTTCATTGGTTACCCAAAGCAGTCTTTTGGATATTTGTTCTACAGGCTAGTGAAACGTGGTCTTTGTAGCACGAAGAGGAGTCTTTCTTGAAAGAGAGCTCATATTCAAAGAGGACAGTGGGAGCACTATTGACCTTGAAGAAATTCAAGATCAGCCAATGAAGGAACCTTAGATGACACTAGCACTCAACCAGAGGGGAAACAGTTCCTGTTGAACCAATCGATAACTCATTACCTCTTAGAAGATCCACTAGGGTGAGTGTGCCACCTGAGTTGTATGGTTTCCATATTACTTCAGATGGTGACACATTCATAAGTGACAGAACACTGGTAAACTTAGATGAACCAGTCACTTATAAGGAAGCAATGGAAGTCCAGAGGCTTCCAAGTGGAAAGAGGCAATGGAAGCGAGATTAAGTCCATGTATGACAACCAAGTTTGAATTTGGTTTGGTTGATAGTGCACCAGGTCGTAAGACAGTTGGGTGCAAATGGATCTTCAAAGAAGAAGACAGACATGGATGGAAATGTGCACACATTCAAGGCTCGACTGGTTGCAAAAGGTTTCACTCAAACCCCAGGGGTTGACTATGATGAAACCTTCTCGCCAGTGGCTAAGATTAAATCTATTAGGATATTGCTCGCCATAGCTGCCTTTCATGATTATGAAATCTGGCAGATGGATGTCAAAACTGCTTTCCTTAATGGGAAGTTGGCTGAAGATGTTTACATGAGTCAGCCAGAGGGTTTTGTTGATGCAAAGTTCCCTAATAGTGTGTGCAAGCTTGAGAAATCCATTTATGGATTGAAACAAGCATCTCGCAGTTGGAATCTTTGCTTCCATGAGAAAGTCAAAGAATTTGGTTTCTCTAGAAGTGAAGATGAGTTCTGTGTGTATATCAAAGCTAGTGGGAGTATAGTAACTTTTCTGGTGTTGATGTCGATGACATATTACTCATTGGTAACGACGTTCCAACCTTGAAAGAAGTTAAGTCTTGGCTTGGAAAGTGTTTTGCCATGAAAGACCTTGGAGAAGCTGCCTATATTCTTGGGATTAGAATATTGAGAGATAGAAAGAAGAGACTAATTGGACTTAGTCAGAGCACATACTTGGATAAGGTACTAAAGAGGTTTAGTATGGAAAATTCCAAGAAGGGAGAGCTACCTATCCAGAGCAATACCAAATTGAGTAAGACTCAATGCCCAAGTACAGATGTTGAAATAGATGACATGAGTCGTGTACCTTATGCTTCCGCTGTCGGATCGATCATGTACGCTATGACATGTACTCGCCCTGATGTGGCATTTGCTTTGAGCATGGTCAGTCGCTATCAGGGAAACCCAGGTAGAGCTCATTGGATAGCAGTTAAGAATATACTCAAGTATTTGCGAAGGACAAAGGACTGGGTCCTTGTGCTTGGTGGCAGTGATACTTTGAGAGTAGATGGTTACAGTGATGCCAGCTTTCAGACGGATAGAGATAACTTCCGTTCTCAGTCGGGCTGGGTGTTTTTACTGAATGGAGGAGCAGTTACTTGGAAGAGTTCCAAGCAAAATACGGTGGCTGATTCTACTTGTGAATCAGAGTACATAGCAGCAAGTGAAGCGTCGAAAAGAAGCAGCTTGGTTGAGGAACTTCATCGGGGATCTCGGAGTTGTTCCAACCATCCAGGAGCCTATGGAACTTTTCTGCGATAATGAAGGAGCGGTTGCCTTGACAAAGGAACCGAGAGATCATGGTAAGACCAGACATATCGACAGAAAGTACCATTTCATCAGACATAGAGTAGAAGAAGGCCATCTTATAGTAAAGAGGGTGTCATCTGAAGATAACCCAGCAGATCCTCTCACAAAGGGTCTGAGTAGGGCTAAGCATATTCAGCATGCTCGGAGCATAGGACTGAAAGATGATATTAGTTTTAGTAGTTAGATTAGTTTTTGAAACTTGTAACAAAGTAAATGTAATTGACTTTTGGTGATTAAATAATAAAGTATTATTTATAAGTTTGGCTACTCCTTTTGTCAATTGTTATTATTGTGTTTCATTTTTGCATGTTTTACTTCCTGAATAATGAGATTATTCAAACTCCACAGTCGCTCGTACTCTTGGAAGTAAGTAGTGAATTATGACTGTCATGAATTGGATTGCAGATTGTCTAAGGATAGACATGGCAATAGAATTGCTGCAACGTTCATGAGTACTCAGAAATTGAGATTTGAGTATTGGATAAACCCTCGCTCAGAGTATTACTTCATGGAATTCATCACGAGTAATACTGAGACGATAATATCTTATAATCTTGAAACGAAGATATATGAGTTGTAATTTACAAGTCGGTTGTGCATTGGTGATACGAAAAACGCATCAGTAACTTGGTGTTATAAAACGTATTGTCATGCATAATTTGATGAGTAAAAGATACAAGCATATGAGTCAACGTTTATTCGTTCCTTTTGCCCTAACAGGAAAAGCGATATCTGTGGGCCCCTCGATGATTTGGTGTTGACTTATGTGCTGGGCCCAGCCAGGACTAAATTGATGTGTTCGATTAGAAGTCCTACATCATCACAAATCAGGAATCGGGAAACATAGATTCTGGACAAACAGATTGATTACATTCCATGTCTTTTGTCTGGGGATATCAAGCAGAACGAAGGGTTATATGATCACTTATCTTAGGACACGTAACTGACTGGGTCAGAGTTCGGCAGCAGCTTTTTGGAAGCTACAATTTGCTGGTCAAATTTAGAAGGCATACTAGCAATTATAGTTACAGACTTATCCAAGTGGGAGACTGTTGGATTAGGTGTCTAAGCCCATAACTATAATTGGTATGTACTTGAATTGATAGCAGCACAGTCCTTTTGGGTTGCCCTCAACCTAGCAACTGGACAAGGAATTATGAAAGGAGAGATATTAATAATATATAAATGATTTATTAATATGTTAATGGATTAATATATTAATTAGAAATCATTATGTTTAATTAATTGTTAGCCAGAAATTAATCAGAATTGATTTTGGGGTTAAAAGAATTAATTATAAGGTGCAGGGACTAGTTTGCAATTATCTAATAGTTGAGTGGAAGGCTCTAGAACCCCCTTGGAAGAGGGTGGACGAAATCTTTAGGGGAAACCCTAATAATTTCGTCCATAGGGGCTTGGATAAGGCCCTTGGGTTTGCTTAGGCCCTAAGCAAAGGATAACTAGGGTTTCCCTTAAACCCTAGATCCATCAGCTATATAAGGAGCCTCCTGGTTCATGTTTTTGGTACTCTTTCTTTTGAAGAAACCCTAAGGCCGAGATTTTGCATACTCCCTCTCCCCTCTCTCTTCTACTTTCCTTCTTGCTAGTTTGGGTGTGATTCCATTAGAGGCATTACACTTGTGGTGCTAAAGCTTCCAAGAAGATCAAGATCAAGATCAAGGGAATATCAATTGTTTGCTATAACAATTGAAAGGTATGTAAACCCTAAACCCTAGTTTAATATTTTCGAAAATAGCCTCTCTCCTCTAGGGTTCTTGTTTTGCAATTCAAAGTTGTATGTTCAATAGTTAAAACATAGATCCAAAGTAGGTTGCATGTGAACTTAGGAATTGTTTCTAGTTTATTTGTTGTACCTAAAACCCATCAAAGATTGTTTAGTTGTTAGTTGGATTGTATTCTTTGGAATAATTGTTTACAAGTTGTAATGGTTTGTTGTTGTTAGTTTCCTTTTAATGTAAAGTACTCTATTATCCATGTATCTTTATTTTAGTTTAATCATAAAACAATGGGTAAGTTAGATGGGATCCCATGTTAGATTCGTAGTTTATTTGTTGATAGTGATATTGGAAATAGCTTCAACTAGAATAAATGGGACCATATGCATTTTCTCTTAAACTAATGTCAAGAATGGACCCCAATACCATGCACGTCCATAACTATAACACAAAATCATAACCACATTCAAACCATTAACATTACAAACGGTTGTACATAACACCAAACATCCAAACTTATTTCGCAACATCACAAATACATAACACCAAACATCCACACTTAATCTCAAACATGACAATTGGATCCTAAATAACAAGTACATAACACCAAACATCCACACTTAATCCGAAACAGACATTGAAATTTAATACCTATTCAAGTTCCATTGGCTTGTCACTAGTGTTGCCTTCCCCATTTTTACCCTCAACCTGTCTAGCAAGTTTTTTCTTGATTATTCTTTTAGACTTCTTTATTTTCTTGATAATTACCTTCTTACCCCTACCTCCTTTCTCATCTTTACCATCCATTGCCTTCTTACTAGTTCTTCCTTTCCCATCATCACCATTATTGCCCTTATTACCCATAGTTCCTTGCTCATCTGTAACATCAATTGCCTTCTTACCACTGCTTCCTTCCCCATCATTACCATTACTGCCCTTATTACCCCTAGTTCCTTGCTCATCTGTAACATCCATTGCCTTCTTACCACTACTTCCTTCCCCATCATTTCCATCTGCTCTCTTCCTTTTCTTTACCTTGAGTTTTGTTGGTTTTTCAGCTTGAGAATATGTAACCGTGTTATGTCCTACTTGCTTGCATACACTACACATACTTTTTTCCCAACCTTTGACACAGTATGTCTTGCACCCCTTTCACTTGCATCCTTTCTTCTATTCACTTTTGGTCTACCTTGCATTTTTCTCTTCAATGGTGGCAAAGGCGCAATGAATTTAGTAGATGACCACATGTTGCTACCATTCATCCCACACATTGGATACTTGTAGGTGTTCTTATAAATTGCTCCATAATACATTGGATCCACATAATTACCAACATCACTATTAAGGTATGAGATAGTTGCAACTGAATGCACACATCCATACCCATTTAGTTGCCACACTCTACACGAACAAGTCTTCTTATCTATATCCACAACATAAGACTCTGCCAAATTTCTTGTTTCAAACTGGTTTAAACCAGTTGGTAAAACCTGCCTATACCTGTTTCAATTGTATACAAGTTAGTATATAGTGTAATTAATCAATTAAAATTCAAACAGAAAGGTAATACCTTTGAGCTCTTTTCAACTGATTCAGTAGGATTATAATAACTGGACATGGTTTATAATCAGGCCATGAACAACCTTTGATGGTCAGATTGAATTGCCTCTCCATAACATACAACCTAATTTCTTCTAACATTGTGATTATTGGTTTTTTTCTTACATCTCTAATGACATTGTTAAAACTTTCAGATAATTCATTTTCAACTGCATCACACATCATCCCCTCTTGAAAGAAAGCTCTACACCATGATTTTGGGTTCTTTTCCATAAGGTAATCAAATGCTGTAGGATTAAGTAGTTGTATTTCCTTCATGACTGCATTGAATAAAGGCTCAGTTGATGCCTTGCATGCCTTCCAAAACATCCTCTCATAATGTATACTGCTGAATCTTTTCCTAAAGTTGGCAACAATATGCCTTGCACGCTGTCTGTGTTCAGTAGTAGGCGATACTTCCTTCACAACCTCCAATATCCCCTACACAATTTAAATTTATTTGTTAAGAAAATATAAATTCATTAAGAAAAAACATTAAGTTGTCTAGTAATACCAAAACCATTTTCGAATACCTTATGTTGATCTGACATCAGGGTAATACGAAAACCATTTTCCATTTCTAGATCATCTTTAAGATTCTCCAAAAACCATTTCCAATTTTCTTTGTTTTCCACACAAACAATTGCCCATGCTATTGGGAAAATATGATTATTAGAATCTCTTCCTACGACACATATCAACTCTCCACTACATAACCCCTTTAAGAAACAACCATCCAGGTTTATTACTCTTCTACAACTGCCTTTCCAACCTTGTTTCAGCCCCTCAAAACATATATAAAACTTACTAAAATATGTCTTCCCATCAGGCATACTGTTGACATCCATTTTGACAGTTGATCCTGGATTGGATATTCTTATCTCCTCACCATATGACCAAAGCTTGGCATAATGCTCAACTAGTGTGCCTTCAATTAGTTCAATTGCATATTTCTTTGCTCTTCTGCACTGTCCCATACTCACATCAATTCCAAATTTTTGTTTCACTTCTTCCTTGAGTAGCCTAACACTCATTTTTTGTTTTTGTAGGAATTATGTTGTGAAATGGCTACCAATCCATGCATAGTTTACAATTGACCCTATTTTAAAATTTCTTGCACAATTATGCTCATCTATAAGAGACTTAATCTAGAAAGAATTTTCTTCACTCATCCATGAAGCCCACAATCTAAACTTGCATTGCCCTGAACAACATTAAACTAAAAGCCTCCTACTATCATTTTTTTGTAGCACAATTGATACCTTTTAGCAACAACATAATTACACAACATATGTTTTAACTGTTTAGGACTTTCAAATCTCATTCCTAACACAGGTTTTTGCTTTTTCCAATGAACATTTTCATTAAAAGTTGTTACCTCCTCATGAATTGGCTCGTTTTCATCCATTTTATCATATGTATCCTCATGAGATGGATCCTCATGAGGTGGAGTGTCTGGATTTGGCTGCTCCTTAGGGCAGAGCTTGCTCAAAAATGCATCATTCAAGGTATTGTTCATTAGAATGCAATCTCCATCTTCAATGTTATCGTCCAGATTACCTTGCACTTGCACTTCATCTAGGTCAACGCCTCCTTCTGTGTCAACATGCAACTCTTCTATTACTTCACTTACACCAGAAAACTTGTCCTCGAGGGTGCATACTTCAGCCATCTCATCAAAAATCCATTGATGAAAATTAACACCAACATGATCCATGTACACATAAATTACACAACCACAATCATACCATACTTCTATCAACTCCTGGTAGTCTTTCTCAGTTGCTATTATCCTCAATCCATCAGGGAAATCAACATCGGGCATGCAAAAGTACACATCAACGCATGTCTCGTTTGCGAATCTTTGAATGAACAATAGAAATCCGTTTTTGTCCATTCCAGCAATCCACATCCTCAAACCTTTGCTCCACTCCATCTGAGTAACTGATCACTGGATACCTCGTAAACAAACCAACAAAATAAAGATCGATCTTCATGTAGACGGTCGTAGCAAGAATCCAAGGAGACTTTTTTTCGATGAACAGTAGAAGAAAAGATAAGAAAGGGGCAAATGAAACCGAGTAAAGAAGATTATTTCTTGTAGAGGAAGGGTTGGTCTCATTTATCGATACATTACGTGGCATGTGATTTGGACGTATGATGTGGCTTTTTTAATGACATGTAAAAGAAAACATGCTGATTGGGATGGGGGTCACCGGGTGACCCCTTCGCTTTTTAGAAAATGGCCTTATTAGCTGGTTAAATGTGAATTCACGCCCTTATAAAGCCAAAAAATAACATAAGGGACCTTTTAAACCAAAATATGTAAGTTCGTGGGACTACAATGACATTTTCACAAAAGAAAAGATGATGCAGAGCTGGGTTGAGTGGGTTTGGACTCCCTCCTCTCTTCCTCCTTTGGGGCCATGTTTTCAAATGTTCTCCACTAAAGATATAAACCTATAAATTCTAAATTGTTCCTAAACTACAATAAAATTGAAAACCAAAAACCCAAAATGGAAAACCTATATGACTAAAATTAGTTTGCACGATCGTTTGAAAGAAAATTGTACACATCAAGCTTCATTTTAAAAATCCACGAAAAACTGGCAAAAAAAGTTCCCAAACTAGATGACATATATAATGACTACTTGACTACCTGATTTTAATCATTAATACCATTTTATATGAATTCATGTACTCTAAGCCAAAATTAAATATTGTTTAACCATATGTCCAAATCAATCATGCAAGTTGTCAAGCTGAACTAAATCGTAATCAGGATACACCCAAACCATCAGCCAAAATACGACCCTATTTCTTCTATATGTTTGATAACCTAAACGTATATACATAATCCAACAATCATTTAAATCATAATATCAAGCAAACTCTAAAACTAAACTTAGTTTAATATGAAATTATAGTTGGGTTGTAACATAAATTCTTCTTGATATTATTGCTTCTTATTTAAAGGGTATTTGAAATTGAGTTTCAAAAGTGTTTATTGATTTATTAGTTTTTTAAAAAGCCAATAACTTTAAAAGATATTTTTCAAATAAAAAAGTGATTTTTACTAACTACTAAGAGGTCATTTTTTGAAGCTATTTGCAATTCATATATGAAGGTGATATAAGATATTATTACGGGAAATTGTGATTTGCGGTGATGAATGTAATATAACTGATCATTTGTTAGAAATTATTTATAATTTGTAGTCGCATTTCGTATGAACGTAATTTCTTATATTAGCAATGATTTAATAAAAAGTTATAGATTTTTTTAAGATATATATATATATATATATATATATATATATATATATATATATATATATATATATATCTTACTATATTATTATACAAACCTTACTATTTCCAAAAATAAATTTAAGACGTCCAAACCATTAAGCTTATAGTACAAATAATGAAGCCAATCTTATCTCATTCTTTAATTCCCGTCTCATTCAAAAATTCAAAAAGTTACAAAAATGGAAATCGTCCACTTTCCCCACATGGTATTATCAATAGTCTTTCCTTGTCCTTCGAATCTTCCCCTGTTATCTTCACTTGGTATTCTTCAAAATTGAACTACTTCCCATTTAATTCGCCCAACTTCAAGTTCAAAAGGCTCACTCGCATCCTTCGTCCCTCCCTGCTATAAAGCACATCGTCAATCAACAACACAATGCTCCCTTCCCATATATCTCCCCTGCACATATCTGATTTCCATCTCCACCCGGTTTCTACACTCACACCACTTCTCCGGAGAAGAACCCCACCATAATATGTCTCTATTCGTCTTTAAACCCTTATCATGCAACCACTCTCTGCCTAATCGTTACCAGCCACCCAATTTCTGCTGTCCGGAATTAATGACCTAGCCTATCCACCTTCAACCACTACTACAATTACCAGACATCGATAGCCATCTGTTTCTTTTGGGATTCGGATCTAAATCTCCGTCGGTGATATGTTTCTTGGGTTTTCTCCTTAATAATGTTCAAAGAAATAGACCAGGTTTGTATTGTTCTTTTCATTTCATCTGTATAAAATACTTACAAAAACCCCATTATGTGGCGATTGTCGGTGCCAATTACTATGTGATTACAGCCGATACTCGAATGTCCATTGGCTATAGTACGAGTTGTTTGAACCGATTCCATTTCTATTTATCTTTCTCCGTGTTTGTGTTTGCAAAAAGAAAATCAAACGTATTTGATTTCGGATTTCACGAGCTCACCACTACGACCATCAACGGAATTCACCACCGCCGTTTACTGCCTTCCTTCTCTCTTTATCTCGGTCTCTGATCAAGAAACCCTAAATATTTGTATATTTTTATTTTCATCCTCATTTTCTGTCTTGTCTCTTCTTAACCAAACTCCTAGCATCGATTGTGTAGTGACTTTTTTTAGAGGAACAACACCGATAGCTAGCTAATGACTGCAGGGGCTGTTGGGTTTGGATCTACGATGTTACAAAATTAACATCATGTTTTTCATTCAGCTAAAGCTGGATACTGGATGCGAGGAATAGAGGGTCCATTGTTATGGATGGTTTACCTTGGTTTGGTTTCTTTATTTCTTTTTATATGTGGGTTCTTATTTTTTCCTTTGAATTTGTCCAATATTTTTCTAATATATGTTGTTATTTTATCTTTAAAATGTTAGTTGACCAGGTGATTTAAAGCATTCTTTGGTTGTCTCATTTTTGTTAAACCAATGGACAAAGCCAGATTTTAGATTTATTAAAGCAAGTAAAAAATCAAAAGGCTGCAATATGGTACTAATTATGTGATTCAAGCATTCGTTGGTTCTTTCATGATTTTTTACTAACAAATCTGCATAAGGTCATAAGTGAATTTCAATTATTTGTATACTAGCATCCTAATTTTCCCTTTTCATAAAAATCTTTATTATTTCACTATTTCAAGCTAAAATGCTGATTTTTATTGTTCTTTTCTCTTATTTATTTAGTATTTGAGAAAAGATTGCTACCATGGAAGAGGAGGAGGAGATTGTGAGACACAAGGTGATGTTATTGAGGACTTGCTCTTGAAGTATATATTATATTTTTAGTAATAATGTTATAAAATTGTTT